AACAGGAAATGAAACAAACTGCAGCGTTTAGGAAACATGCTGTAAGGCGGATCTGGCTGCAGAAGCGTAAATAATGTGGATAATTGCACAAGTCCAGGCGTAGAGCTAATAACTGAGAGGGCCATCATCAGCCTCCAAATGTCGCAGAGAGAGATATATAACAAAGCGCTCATTCACAACCCTCATTCTGATTCAGGTGTGTGTGTGTGTGTGTGTGTGTGTGTGTGTGTGTGTTCTCTTACTGTCCAGTTTCTGTCTGAGAGGGTTGGTTCCATAAAGCAGCACATGGGCCTCAGAGTGGACTGTCTGGAGCTCTTCCAGAGTGGCTTTCCTGCCTCGAATACACTGCAAAAAAATAAACAAATAAAAATAATAATAAAACAGAATGACTTAAGAGCTAAGGAAGATGATACATTCATTTTGAAGTGGATAAATTGGAGATTCAGCTATCAAGTATCAACTGAAACATGTGTTGAAACTTCAAATTGAATATATCCAGCTAGATACTATAGTTCATCTTTTCATATTTCTTTTTGTAACATTTCTATTACATTTATTTGTAAGTATTTTATGCTGACCATGGGTAAATCTGTTTGAACCAAAACTTACTATGAATTAAACAAAACTGTTTTCTTTTAAAAGATGTTTAAAATGTAACTAACGCTTGTCATGAAAAGTGACATTTTCCAGCCACACACTTTCAGAATCCTTCAAACAAGATGATTTGATGCTTGATTATTTTTTTCATTCATTCATTCATTTTCTTGTCGGCTAAGTCTCTTTATTAATCCGGGGTCGCCACAGTGGAATGAACCACCAACTTATCCAGCAAGTTTTTACGCAGCGGATGCCCTTCCAGTCGCAACCTATCTCTGGGAACATCCACACACTCATTCACACACACACTCGTAAACTACGGACAATTTAGCTTACCCAATTCACCTGTGCCGCATGTCTTTGGACTGTGGGGGAAACCGGAGCACACGGAGGAAACCCATGCGAACGCAGGGAGAACATGCAAGCTCCACACAGAAACACCAACTGAGCCGAGGTTCGAACCAGCGACCCAGCAACCTTCTTGCTGTGAGGCGATAGCACTACCTACTGCACCACTGCCTCACCCTGATTATTTTTTTATTAAGAAATATGTTACAGATGGATCTAAAATATTAAGTTGTTTGTTCACAAATTTGAATAATTTTCTCAAAAATAGACAGACAGACAGACAGACAGGCAGACAGACTATTTTGAGAGATGTAAAGAAAAATAATTGTACGCATTTCCTGTTTTACATTTTTATAGCTTCCTAGAATCTAAAAATGAGCCAAATATTGATAATGTTATGATAGCTGTTGTAACATTAAGTTATGGTTGAATTGCCTTTTGTTACAGTTATGAAATGTTTATGGGCCAATGACAAAGAGATAATTGCACCAAAAACACTTTCATTCATTTTACAATTCTTTTTTTTTATTTATTAAAGTCTTTTTTATTTATTTGTGTATAACATACCAGGCCGCAATCGCTGAATCCTATGTAAAATCAGCAAAAAGTCGCAAATATTTGCAATCCTGCCAAATTCTTAATTAAACGCAAAATAATCACAAAGAATGTAAATAATCTTTTAATCAAAGTAATCAAAATAATACTTCGGATTAAAAAATTTCGTATTCAGAGCATCGGCAGCCATTAGCCTGTCTGAGCGGTCCAAAGAAAGTGACGGCTGACGTTCCACCACAAGATGGCGACAGCAAAATAAGTCCTTAGGTAAAAGCATTTTCTCAGTGTAAGTTTCAAACTACAGCTGAAAAAATCATTATAAATCAGGTCTAAGTCGATTTTTATATTTGTAGTGCTGCATTTATGCCAAAGAAACTGGCAGTGTTTGCTTTGCTTTGGCTTTTTTGGGGTTAATTGAGATATCCTTATTACAACAAAGAAATACTGGGACATTTCTGTAGAAATACATTAAATATACATATACATTACATATACATACTTTTTTATGTAAGTGTATTTCTTTGTTTTACTATTTTTATTTAAATATTTAAATATTTATATTTCAACATTTTGTTATTGTTTGTTAAAAAGCTACAATTTACATTTTAAATTTTTAAAAATACATTTTCAATTGGTTAACAATGTAAATTATACAGCATAAGCCAAGTCTGTCCAAAAACATTGATTTTTGAAGATAACAAATGTTTACAAAAATGTCTTTCTTAACCCTCTGGGGTCGAAGACCGTGTACCTGCGTTTTGACCAGTAGTGTTGTCAAACTGCTGAAATGAACTTAAATTACACTTTCAGTTTTGATCGTACACATAAGATCAATACATCAATCAAATCTGTTATGTGTCTACTTTTTGTTGTGTACACTCACAACAACAACAAACGTGTGTGCTTTTGCAAAATAAGGAAAACAAACAGTGTAGGCATTCTGTCTTTTCTCTCTCCGTGAACTGCTGAGAAGTGTATCAGTAAAATGCGCTGAAACTCCGTGAATACAAAACTCACACAGATGAGACATGTATTTCTAAAAAGCTTAAATTGTCTACTTTTAAACGCAGCTATGCAAGTTGAAAACAAACATTGCTTGATAAAGTAACATCATTTTGAAGCAAAAACACTAGACTACCAGATCCAGTTCTCAAAAGTCTTGTGCACAAATGTTCTCTGTGTGTTTCACGGCCTTGTTTCAGTGACTTCAAAATGTAAGATTTCACTAACCATGCATAAATGTTTCTTTCTCAAAAACACAAACACAGACAAGCATGCTGCTTAGGTATTATTGTAGCCCAAATTGTGCTGTTTACAGTGTTATCACACTTTAGCCATTAATATGTTTTTAAGATACTGAAAACAACACAAACGTCAGTGCATGTCAAAACTTCTCCAGAGCCCCAAAACACCCTCAGACCCCAGAGGGTTAAAATCAACTGATAAGCAGATCTGCATGTATTTAGCACTGTATGTATTGCCGAGATGTATTCAATGGTGATTTTTGTATTCAACGGTGATATTTGTTTTAAACTGAAATAAACTTCAACAGTGACACAAAAAAAACTGAGGTTAATCCGTTTTAATTTAACCAGATCTACACCAACATTCCACAACTCTCTTCTGTCTGTCTGATATGCTTGAATGCTATCTAAAATAGTAAGCTGCATAAACTCTCATCTATTTTCTTCAAGCTGCTGTGACACAATCTGCCTTGTAAAAAGCGTTATAGAAATAAAGATGAACTGAATTGAACGTTTTACTGTTTCATCAACCACACGATCAACAGAATTTCCTGCACACCATCTATCCTACATTTTTTTTCAGCTGTCCTACCAGAGCTGAAACAGACCCCCACATCCACCTCCCACTCCAAACCAGGCCCCACATGTCTGCAGAACAAAGCCGTGGGCCCTTGGAGGTGCCGGAGCTGCTGGATTTGCAATAATGTCATTTTTTGTTTAATAGCTCTGGCCTCCGAGGCACAAACCCATCAGAGAGGGAGGCGAATCGGTCCACCGGCCCACCTGTGGAAGCGTTTTGGGGAGGTTTTCAGTGGAGGTGACACCTGCAACAGGACGTACTACATCTCGGATTTAACAGCAGGGCCAGTTAAAGAGGGGCCCGCGGGGGTCCGGTGCAGGCTGGCGGCAGCTTAAAACAACCCTACACTCTTTAAGGGCCCCCCTGCTGTAGATTAGGGGGTATTAAGAGGCATGACTGCCTTTAATTGAGGCCCAATTCACTGTTTCCATCTCCCAGAACAATAAACATCCCCACCAAGGAGCGCATGCGGGCGAGAGCGGGTGGGTGGGTGCGCCATTGTCGTGCTTGTTTACTTGTTTGTTTGGAGGAAAACAGAGACTGCAGCTACGCGACTGACTCTAACAGGCCTGACGCAATGGAGCCAGCGTGGCAGGAGAGATTAGATCCAGCGAGGGCCATTAAGGCGGCAGTGATCAGCGCTCCAGATGATGACAGAGCTCAGGAATTGCCCTCAGCAGGTGGAGGACCAGATAAGCAGGCACAGCCGGGGATTCTGCGCCCATTTTGGGGAGGAAAAGGGGTTTTTTGAGTTTGCAAAATAAAACGGAGTGGAATCATCTTATTCATGTCTTGAAGCATGTGTAGTTTGCATAGAATGAAAATTTGCTGCAGACGCAGGTGACAACATATTTTTAGCGTGGTCTTTTTTAAAAAGAGGTGACTCATTGGTTAGCACTGTTGCCTCACAGCAAGAAGGTCGCTGGGTTGAGTTCTGGCTGGGTCAGTTGGCATTTCACTGTGGAGTTTGCGTGTTCTCCCTGTGTTGGCATGAGTTTCCTCCGGGTGCTTCGGTTTCCCCAACAGTCCAAAGACATGCACTATAGGTGAATTGAATAAACTAAATTGACTGTAGTGTATAGGTGTTTCCCAGTGGTTGGTTGCAGCTGGAAGGGCATCCGCTGTGTAAAACATATGCTGGATAAGTTGGCGGTTCATTCTGCTGTGGCGACCGCTGATGATTAAAGGGACTAACCCAAAGGAAATGAATTAATGAAAATGCAAATAAACCAAGCTTCCACTTTGGGAGTCAAAAGCAGACGTGGGGGATTCCAGTCACATGACCAGACTTCAGTCAGACTTAAGTCGCAAAATTTTGACTTTAGACTTGCTTGACAAACAAACAAAAAAGACTCGACTTGGACTTCAGTCAGTCTATTTGCGGCCTCAAGTTTCCACTGCAAAAATAGCTTTTCCTACTTAGAGTAGGAAAATCTAACAATTCTTAAATCAAGAAGCATTTTCAAGACAAGTAAAACACATAGGGTTCTATTTTAACGATCTAGACCCAAAGTCTAAAGCGCATGGCACACAAACATTGAGGGTATGTCTGAATCCACTTTTGCAATTTTAAGAACGGAAAAATACGCTGTGTGATGCGGCACATGGTCTAACAGGGTTGAGCTTATTTTCTTAATGAGTTCTGAGTGTGTTTTGAGAATAAACCAGTCAGAGTCTCCTCTCCCATTCCCTTTAAGAGTCAGTTGTGTCGCACTTTGGCGTATTTGCTATTAACATGGCGACTTAGTAAGAGAAAAAACTGAATGCTTCACTAGTGAGAATACAGTTAAACAGACCATCTGCAGCACAAGGATAATGAATGAGCCTCCTCCAATTGGCCCTTACTTTCACCTTCTTTCAATAATTTAACATTGAAAACCTGATCTCTTCAATTGACTCTAAAAGCTCAACTAAAAAGGTACAATTTTAATCGAGACTAAAAGTCATCCACAGTTGGGGACAATATTTATTTTACATTATATGTATAGTGTGTATTATAAAGCAAAACAATGCGTCTAAACAAGAAAATGAACACTATTACAATGAACATTATTATTAATTTTTAACAAATAAACAAAATGCGGTGCTTTTTTTTGTATGGAGTTTTGTGCAGACATAAAAATTATTGTTGTTCAAATTGATAGTGGCAACATTTCACAACTCTTAACAATAATAATTAACAATACTGCTTCTTTGACTGATCTCAGATCCTGCTGGAAAGATTTTAGTTTACCCAAAAATAAACATTCTATATTACTCTCCTTTGTGAGTTTCTTTCTACTCTTGAACAAAAAAAGAAGATATTTTGAAGTATGTTTAAAACCTGTAACCATTGAATTTAAACGCTCTTTTTTTCCTACTATGGAAGTCAATGGTTATAGGTTTTCAGCTTTCTTCAAAATATCTTCTTTTGGGTTAAACAGCATGAAGAAACTCATAAAAGTTTATAACCACTTGAGGGTGTGTAAATAGTGTTCATTATTGAGTGAATTGTCCCTTTATGTGGTGCTACCATTAAAAAAAAGGAAAGCAAAAAAAGTGGCAGAAAACACGAACTAAGAATTTCTAATATTTTTTTTTTTTACATTTTATTTAAATTTTTGTGAGCGGTCTTCAGACTTTTTTTGTCTCCTCTGTTCTAATGTAAAAGTTGTCTGCTTCTCTCCCAGCCTGATTTTCCCTCGAATGCACTCGAATCAATCTCACACCCCCTTTTTTCCTTGAGCAAAAGGCTTAGGTTTATTCATAAAGTTTCATCAACGGGGCGATGTGGCTGTGTTTGTGATGGCTCCACAGCGCCCTCTATAGACTGAAACGTTCTTAATCGCACTACAGTGCCCAGCTGTCATCAGTTTGGTGCAGAAAGATCAAATGGAGTCAGCATTAGAACATAAAACAGCGAGTATTACCTCACACTGTCCACGCAGGCCAGTTTCCTGCAGTCGTGACCAGATGCTCTGGATGCGTCCGGCGTGCTCCGGGTGGATGTTACTGTTTCCACACATGCACTGGTGTTTCTGCATCAGTGTGTCGTACACCAGACCTGTACAAAGACAAATACACACTTTTAAGTCAGCATGAAGTCAAAGTTTTTGTTTTTCTATCTATATGACTGTTTTTTTTTTGTCCATGGTCACATATGACAGCAATACAACTGAGCATTTAATCCAGAAACTCTGACAAAACTCATTTCTGTTTGCAGAGCTGCGTTTAAAAAAATCTAAATCAAAATACCATTTCTTAAGAAAAGGATACAGGTTTAGAACATTTATTCATTCCTTTACCTTCGGCTTAGTCCCTTAATTCATCAAGGGTCACCACAGCAGAATGAAACGCCAAGATATCCAGCATATGTTTTACACAGTGGATGCCCTTCCAGCTGCAACCCAGCACTGGGAAACACCCATACACTCTCACATTCTCACACACACACCTCACGGCCAATTTACCAGCGACCTTCTTGCAGTGAGATGACAGTGCCAACCACTGAGACACCATGCTGCCCAGGTTTGTAACATAGTGAACTAATAATTTAGTTTTCATTTTGGGGTGGACTGTCGCTTTAAACTGACAATAAAGTAAATGTATAACCTAGTATTCCTATATAGGTAAATATACCTGTTATATGCCTATAATTATACCTAATTTCATCCAAAATATATTTCAAACGAGGTCACCATGTGGACAGAACAAATAAATTTCTTTAAAAAAAAAAAAAATATATATATATATATATATATATATATATATATATATATATATAATTAAAATAAAAAACAAAAATGTAAAATAAATAAATAAATAAACTAAATAAATAAATAAATAAACTACCAATATGACTGGTTTTGTGGTTTAGGGTCACATATGAAAGCAGTGCAACAGAGCATCTTATCTAATGACTGACCGGTAGTAAAGCGTGGTTTGGCCGGAGGTTCCTGCACCACGATGGGAAATGTGGCAGAGGCCGGGGATGATTGTGCTCTGGAAAGAGGCCGATGGACTGGAAAAGACACGGACAGTCCGGCCGCCTCCATGGACGCCTGATAGTTCCTCAGCTGGTGAATTCTCTGCTGCTCCAATAGGAGAGCTTGCTGCTCAGAGAGAGAGAGAGAGAGAGAGAGAGAGAGAGAGAGAGACAGAGAGAGAAAGTCAAAAACAGACATTATTACCTTTCAGTAAATTTAAGTTTGGAGGAAGACTTGTGGAAATGAACAGCTAAATCTTTAAAACAATGTTTCCTTCTTAATAAAGAGGAACAGGTTTTTATCTATCATGCAGTTACATATATAACCAGCAGATGGCACTCAATGCATTGCAAAACACTAGAAAGGACAACACAGTAGTCAACATTCAAAGTGAATCAAAAATGTTTTTTCAGGATTGCCCTAGGACAAGAACGGATGCTGTTCAATAGTTTTTGGATAACTTTGATGAAAGCTACTGATCCACTTCTAATGTTGACTACTGTATTTATAGAAAATGCTTCACATTTCAACAAATCATGGACAAAAGCTTCACTTGTTATGCTTTTAGACTAGATTTAGACTATTTAAAACATAAGAAATTGTGGCTTTTAAGACAAATTTTAATGATTTTTTCAATCAATTTTGAACAATTTGAACTCATTTCTAATAACTTATTTCTTTTGTTTTTGCCATAGTGGCACTACATTATATTTAATTACTAATTTTGCAATATACTTAAAGGACTTCGGGTTTGTTCTGTACACCACAAAAAAATAATAATAATAAAAAAATAAATTCACTGTTGCTTGTTCAAACTACCTGTTTAAAATGAGCTGAAACAACACCACTCTTGTAATTTCTTTAGCCAATATATTTGTTTTATGTTTAGTCCACTTAAATTTGTAAACCATTAAGCTAACTTAAGCGTTTTGTGTAAGGACAACAATAAGGAGCTGTGATGGTCCAACTACCTTGTTAGGGGATTTGCAGTTCCAAGCATGCTTTTCTCTCTTTTGAAAGAGAGAGAAATTATGAAAATAAAAGTAATCTTAGGTGTTTAAAGTTAATAGAAAAACTTATTGGGAGTTTAACCTTCATTTTAGTTTAAAGATCTTTTTTTTTCAAGTAATGCTTTTAGTTTTGACATTGCCACCTTGCAGAAGCAAGTGTTGGCAGCTTTATTAGTAAAAAGGCAGCTTGTTGCTTTGCTCAGTGAGCAATAACTGTCCTAAAATTAGTTCTGAGATCAGTATCAATGGGTATATGAAACCCATGAAATATGCTTAAATGTCTCTTAGTTCATTTAGGATAACTTCAAAAAAGACTAAAAGACTTTGATATATGTTACATTAATAGGCATACAAGGTATTATCAGACCTTTGAGTTAGTTAAATACAAACACAAATGTATTTAAACTTTTATTTGATAAAATCATGTTGGACCAACTCAATTGCATTTAATTGTGTAAATAGTTGTTTTGTAGTTGGTGCTAAACAAATGTATTGGGTGGAAATCCTGCCCTCAATTAAATTCAGTTTATCCAATAAGTTATTTTTTTGAGTGCAGCCAATCAAAAAACAAGTTTCTTAAGGGGCTAATAATATTTACCTTTAACAATTTTATAGTTTTTACTTATTTATTAAAAACTGCTTTTATTCCAGTAAAACTTAAATAAATGAGACTTTCTCCAGAATAATATATATATATTTTGTTTGTTTGTTTGTTTGATATCACAATTACACTGGACAACCAAGTGTTTTAGCAGACTTTCTAATTCTCAACACCTGTCCACAGAAGGCTCAACAAAATTTAAATAAAATAGATACATACAGTTGAAGTCAAAATTATTAGCCCCCTCGAATTATTAGCCCCATTTATTTGTTCCCCCAAATTCTGTTTAATGGAGAGAAGATTTTTTTTCAACACATTTCTAAACATAATAGTTTTAATAACTCATCTCTAATAACAGATTTATATTATCTTTGCCATGATGACAGTAAATAATATTTTACTAGATATTTTTCAAGACTTTTTCTATACAGCTTAAAGAGACATTTAAAGCTTAACTAGGTTAACTAGGCAGGTTAGGGTAATCAGTATAACGATAGTTCGTCTGTAGATTATCGAGAAAAAATATATAGCTTAAAGGGGCTTAAAATGTTTTTTTTTTTTTTTTTTTTTTTTAACTGCTTTTATTCTAGTGGAAATAAAACAAATAAGACTTTCTCCAGAAGAAAAAAATTATATCAGACATACTGTGAAATATTTCTTGCTCTGTTAAACATTAATTGGGAAATAATAAAAAAAAAAATAATAATAATAATAAAAATCAAATGGGGGGAGGGGGTTATGAAATCATAATTCTGATTTCAACTGTATACACAACATTATAATTCTTTACATACAGTTACTAAAAAGCAAAAGCAAAGGCGGCATGATCAGACAAAATAATAGTCAACTATTTGTGCAAACACTGCTGTTTTGCTTTTAACCACTTTTTAAGAACACTAATAAAAATATGTTTACTACTTTCTAATTTTAGGCTAACAGATAAATCAATCCACAATTTGGTTCCCTTAACAGAGAAGACAGATTGACCAAAAGAGGTCTTACACTTTGGAACAAGACAGTTACCAATAGCCGTTGCCCGTGTGACTGTAAGAGGTTTGATGCCCACTGATTAGATCAGAAACCACCATTGGAAAATAATTATTTAAACATTTAAAAACCAATTTAAGATCATTTAATTTAACTAAACTATAAAGGTTATGTTTACATAAAACATCACAATGATGCTATCACATAGACTTTAAGTCCATAATTGTAATTGCTTGTTTATATATATCAAGTTAATAGGCTTCAATGTAGTTAAAGAAGCTTGTGACCACGATGCAATAAGTTAGGGAATATAATTTTGTGCATGTTTAATTTTGCAGTTTGATATGTTAAAAATCTTCTAAAAAAAATTAAAACAGTTTAGACTTGGCTGAACAGTCTTACATATATTTTTAACATGACTATCACATTTTAAATTAATGTCTAGAGTTATGCAGAGACACTTAAATTCATTCACTTTTTCAATAACTTTATTTTAATCAGCACCTAAAAGTGGCTTTTGGTGATGCAGTTAGTAGAAAGATTAAATAATTACATCTGGGTTAAATTATTTAAATTCATCAAGAAATATGCATTACATTTTTGGGTTTTGTAAGAATTTAAAATGTTTTTTTGATAGAAGTCTCCAATAATTACCAAGGCCATGCTCTGATGCATTTAATGCATATGTTGCTAAACCTCTGTTCAAAACAAATTGACACAACTTTCCCACATTAAACATTTTAATGTAAATTCCTATTTTAATATCTATTTTAAACAACAAGACATGATGTAATGGTGTCCTGGTATAGCTGGTCTAAAGCCTCAGGAAGGACGTTCACATAAACACAGCCTGTTAATTGGCAGAGAGCTGCAGTTTTGGACAGCACTTTATACAGCTGATGAATATTTCAGTTTGATTGCAGGAACATGCAGTGGGTTTCAAACCCCTGCTGCCCATTAAGAAGAAAAAGAGCTGGACTTAAATGATCTCGTCAAGCACAAGTGCCCACCTCCTGTTCACTTTAAAAAGCAGCGATTAAACGTTAAGCACACCGACTTTACAGGAGCTGCACAAACAAAATCACATTGAGCTTTCATGCTAATAAAAGACTGCATTTATTCACCTATTCTTTTAGGGCTCTGATGAAATTGGCATGTTAAGCCACGGTCACACTAGAGTTTGAGCATGAGAAATTATAAGTAATTATTAAGGCGGGATTAAACAAGATGATTAAACTATTAAAAAAGCAAGCAATTGCTCCATATTTTAAATTTCTGTTTAAAGAGGTCATTTTTTGATCTTCGATTGGTATCATGCAGTCACGTGGTGCGATTTCACAGGTCAGAGTTCACCAAGCTTGAACTTTGCAACACATTGAACTGTGAAACTTGTCGCAAGAGCTTGAGTTTCCGGTCAGCTGTGTTTCCATGCATTTGAATGGAAGTCTACAGGGTGAAAAGTCCAGTGTGACCACAGCTTCACTGTTTGCAGAGCTGCGTTTAGCTTTGATCCACAATAATATTAGTTATTTTGTATTGTATATTGTCAGCTTTAAAAAGAGCAAACCTGTCTCCTTTTATAGATAAAATTAGATAATATTTTTGATAAAAGTTAATAAACAGTTTTGAGCACATTGAGTTTTTTCTTTGTCTATTTAATAAAAGCCAAACGAGAATTTGAAACCTCTTAAATATACCTCCTTGTAGTTTTAGAAAGCCATACAAGTTTGAAATAACATGAAGTTAATGTCTATAAAATAATAACAGAAAATATTAAAAAGAAATCTTATTAAAAACATACAATTCTGCCTAATATAATAATTTACAAAAAAAAACATACAAAATGATAAAATATGGCTAATTTCAGCCAAAATATATTTCAAATGAAGTTACAATGTAAACAAGGCATGAAGTGAATGCCTATAAAATAAAATAAAATAAAATAAAGAAAAAAAAAACATAAATTATGGCTAAAATAGCATAAATTACAATTTTTTAAATTATATATATAAAAATATACAATATATTAAAATAATATAGCAAATTATAAACCACAATATATTTCAAAACGTATTTCAGAGTTTGAAGTTTAAATTTACATAAAGTTAATTACTATAATAGTCAAAATGTAAATAAAACCAAATAATAAAAAAGTACATTTTTTACTAATATATTTATATTATATTAATAATATATTACAAATAACTTATTATTTATATAAATTTTTATTGTTTATAATATAACATAATTTTATGCCATGTGCAATTATATTAAATATGTACAACTATAAACAACTGTTTTAATTATTGTCTGTTACAGTGGCACTAATGTGTGTGTGTGTGTATACAAACAGTACACACATAAAGTATACGTAAATCCACATAGACATACACAAAGGAGTGAAACAGTAACAGTGGTACTCCCCCTATGTGTGTATGTACTGCACTGCATATATGCATACATACATATAAGATGTAAGTATACACACACATTTTTAATTTTCTTTTTTTTATAATATATATATATATATATATATATATATATATATATATATATATATATATATATATATATATATATATATATATATATATATATAGATTATATAAATATATAATATATACATATATAATATATATCAGATCAGAGATCTGCCTACCCTTTGTGCTTTGGTACTAAAACTCAACACAAGGACTGATCGTTCCACCAGATCTGTAACAAATGGATGTTTGCCAGTACCGGCTTTTAAAACCTGTTATGGACAGAGATCTTTCTTTTATGTTTTCACAAAAGCTTGGAAAGAGATCCCACAACATCTAAAAACAATACCAACACTGAGACTTTTTAAAAATCACATGCTTGTCATCTGATGGTCAACTATCACTGTAGCCACTGAGATAGTAGCCTGCTTTTCTTTATTTTATGTGTTTGGTGATTGTTTGTACAGTACTGTGTTGATGGATGAGATGTCTGTCTGTTTTTATGTTCTGCAGAGCAGGAACCTGCTGAAAAACAGCATTCATGCTGAGTCAGGCCCGATTATCTTTTAATCTTTTCCTGTTTAAAATGTATAAATAAATAAATAAATAAATATACATACATGGGCAATATCACACTTGTAGCAGTGCGATATGGCTGTATATCGGCACTGGTGGGAGGCGTGCGTTGGCACGAGGCCACAGGCCAAGTGCCTTAGTGCCCCAACCAGTGCCGATATACAGCCATATCACACTGCTACAAGTGTGATATTGCATTTACTGTATACAACAGTTTGACGGCATAATTGTGAATATAAAAACAAAATCAAACATGGAGAGTCTCAAAAACCCTTTTGTATGAGGAACTACTTTCTTCCGCGTTGGATTCAAATCATGAGCTGACAGTTAAACAGCTGAGCAAGCATCTTTTAAACTTTAGATCTGTATATGTCTGCTTTTTGCTGGCTGTATGTGGGTGGAGTAATACACAAAGGGTAAAGAGGCTGTATGGGTGCTGATATTACTTAAATATATCACGGCTATCAGCCAATCAGATTCGAGAACCAGACAGAACTGTTGTATAAATACATATACATACACCATTGGTTTAAAGATTAAGGCATTCATAAAATTGCATAATAAATCTAAACATATATTATGCATGTCTCTACCTCTGTTACCTCTGTGTTAGAACCAATGGTTTTGGTTAGAGTGACACATTGCAGTTGATTACAATAGCCTGTTGCTGCCCCCTTCTAGTGTTCACTGGTTTAGTCGGTTTTCAATTAGTCCCATTGAGAGAAACACACTTCACTGGTTATTTGACTGGTGTGTGCTTGTGTGTGTGTAATGCAAATAGAGTTTCACCTGTCTGAAGAGCAGCTCCTCCTCCGCTTGTCTCTCTCTCTGCTGAAAGTCTTCGTCCTGCTCATCTGGAGGCTCTTGTTTAATGGTGACCCCGTGAGGAAGAGGGTCTGCGGGGTCTCCCAGCCCCTGGTGCTCCCTCAGCTCCTCTTCTGTCTCCTCCGGGTGGCTCTCGTGCTGTCGGTTCGGCTCGCTCGGTTTCACCATCATCTGACAGAGAAACACATGACAAACTCACCATCAGTTTATTTCAACAAGTTTATTTCTGTAGTAGAACATGTATCATTTCAGTGGAGTGTTTGTACCATGGTTTACATGGTACAACGAAATTCAACAAAGTTAACATTATCATTATGCTGTTTTATTACAACCATGCAAAATGTGTGGGTGGTATTTTTCTTTCTGGAAGGAAGCTTAATGAAGTTTCACAAACTAATTTCGAGAGGAGCATGTGATATGATTGACTGTAGCTGGCCACTCATCTACACTCATTAGCTAGCCAATCAGATTCATCCAAACTCACTATAAGTAACCTAGCTAAGATCTACTCCCTTATCTTCGTTTTCCCGAAGAAACCCCCCCATCCACCCCTTCTCCTCCTTTCCTCTTTTGCCGAGGGGAGCTCTCGAGAACCACCTGATCTCGTACTCCCCTCACATGCTCTATGGACCTGGCGGGAGCCCTGGGCTCAACTATCTCCGAGCTCAGGGTTCTCTCCCAGGACAGCATGCCAAACCAGCTAACTTGCTAACAAGTTGTTAAACAGTATCTAAGTGTGAACTCTCGAAATACTTTCATTTAATCATAGATTATGCAAACATTTATTCATTTGTTTCTATTACATTCTGTTCATTTCAATTATTTTATTCCTCGACCATTCTATTCGACTGCATTTCGTTGCATTGTACTTGTACAAATGTAATGACAATAAAGTTGAATCTAATCTAATCTAATCATGTACTCATAACAGAGATGCTTAAACAAGGGCCCACAGGCCAAAGTTGGCCCATGGTAACCTTTGATTTGACTTGTCATCCCATCTGAGAAGAGAGAGACAATGATGGGGAAGGTTTAGAGATTGTCATTTCAAATGTAATGTAACATTTTATTTGTTTGTTTCATTGTTAAGCCACAAAAAAAGCTAACTGAAATTAAAAGTTTCAATTTAAATGCTGTAGTTTAGTTTATAATGTACATACGATCACCTGACTGATAGAGGACAATGCAGAGACTTTGGTGAGGGAATCAAGACAATGCAGCTTCTGCTTGACTAGTGTCTTCAGCATTGAACTCCACTGTGTCATAAGTGGGATATGTTTTTATTGCATTAGGTTATAATTAAAAAAAGTTATACTGAATTAGTTAAAATTATTCAAAGAGATGTTATATATTATTTGGAAATAGAGTCAAATAAATTAGGAAATTAGACATGACAACTTTAATGTAAAATAATTTGGTATGTTTATCTTTGGCCCACGGCTCTCAATGTTATTTGGTTTTTGGGCCTTTATACAAAACAGTTTGGTCACCCCTGGTCTATAATACATTTAAAACATTATATGAATGAATTTTATTATTTAAAATATTATATTTAAGACTAATATTTATATATTTATTTGTATTGACATTTTGTTTGCAATGCTGTTGATTCGATTTAGAATAACTTTTTATGTTATATGTTATAGAATTCTATGTTATAGAATTACTATTTATGACAATGCATTATTTACTGAGTCATCAGAATAAACAATAACCAGTTTTGTTAATAGCTTTTGTGACACTACTTTATTTAACCAAACCATCAATGTGAAATATAATTTCTATTATTCACTGTAATAATAAATAAATACAAATAAGATATAACCAACATTATATAACTACATCCTCCTTTAAATACATAATTCATTCATTCATTCATTTTCTTTTCGGCTTAGTCCATTTACTCATCGGGGCTCGGTGCAGCAGAATGAACCGCCAACTTATCCAGCTAATGTTTTTACGCAGCAGATGCCCTTTCAGCTGCAACCTAACACTGGGAAAATACTTCAAATATTGTATTAAAATAATAAAAAATAATATATTAAATATAATAGTTCTAAACAATCTGATGTTTTGACATTTTTGTGCAATATCACTGATTTAATTTAGAACAACAATGTTATACTGTATATAACAATATATTATAAACTCTTTTATTAAATTAAACAATACTAGTTTTTGTTAATAGCTTTAGTGACGCCAACCACTTTATTTAAAAGCATAAGCCAAACCATCAACGTGAAATATAATTTCTCTAATTTACTTTAATAATAAATAATCAAAAAATAAAATATAACCAACATTATACAACTACATCCTCCTTTACATACTATATATAAAATATGATATAAAATTATTTTGAATAAAAATCCAAAATCAAACAAAAAGTGCTCAGTAATCTATTTCCTAGTGTTGGGTTGTGACTGGAAGGGCATCCGATGTGTAAAACATATGCTGGATAAGTTGGCGGTTCATTCCGCTGTGACAACCCCAGAATAATACAGTGACTAATCCGAAAAGAGAATAAATGAATGAATGAATGAATGAATAAAATAATATAATAACTTTAAACTCAAGCCAAACCATCAACATGGAATATTATTGCTCTTAATAAATAAATAAAAAAAAATAAATAAATAAATACATTATAAACAATAAACAAACAAACAATAAACAAACAACAAACCAATAAATAAATAAAATAAAAATAAACTATAAACAATAAACAAACAAACAATAAACAAACAAACAAAAAATAAACAAACAAATAAAAATAAATAAACAAATAAAAATAAATAAATAATAAACAATTAAAGAAAAAATTAATAAACAAATAATAATAAATAAATAATAAACAAACAAACAACAAATAAATAAATAAGCACATAAAAATAAATAAATACATACATAAATAAATGACAAACAATAAACAAGCAAACAATAGACAAACAAACAACAAATAAATAAACTAATAAAAATAAATAAATAATAAACAAACAAAAAATAAACAAACAAATAAAAATAATAATAAATAAACAATAAACAAACAAACAATAAACAAACAAACAACTAATACATAAATAAAAAATAAATTAATTAATCAATTAATTCATTGATTAATTAATTTAATTAAAGTAATAGCTTCATTTGCCTGAGACACACGTTTGAGATCTTGTTTTTAATGAAGAACAGAAAACTGAGGGTGCTGAGGGTCTCTGGGTATGTGTTTGGGAACCACCAACATTTATGTACTATTCAAAACTCCTTTTTAATTGCATACATCTCTTTAAACTTTGATAGATGAAACTCTGTAGACTCTGTGGCAACTAACAGCACTGTAATACTTTACACAAGAATACACTTTACAATATGATTCAAAAACACTACAAAATTTAAAGTAAACTACTATGTTTTTTCCCCCATGTGGGTTATGTTTGTACATGTACACCACAGTAATCCTGGATCTGTAAAACTGCATCTCTTTTACATTAACACAATAGCAGCACAACTCAAACAGGCTCTGCTCCCTCGGGTGAAAATTATTTACAATCCAGATTCTGTGACGTCTTTGTTCCCAGAAGAAAACTACAGTCGTGGTGTTTGAGGGAGTTCCAAAACACAGTGTACAGACATACCCAACAACTGTCTCTGGAGTGACTCTGTGCTTTGCAACTTTGCATCTTTTTTTAAGCTCAAACTGAATAAAATGCGCACGAAAGAAAGCTTTAAGTATAACAGGCATAACACAGGACCTCTTTAAATAATATTCCTGGAACAACAGGAACAAAGGAAACTGTCCTTTCGGCTTAAGTTCTCGCTGTGACAGCTGTCTAACCCTATCACTGTGGCAATGAAATCTCTAGCCCCTCCCCACGCACGCACGCACACACACACATACTGGAGTCTGTTATAAACACAGCCCCCTGGCACTGTGCCGAGGGAACATAATTGACGTCAGAGCGCTCAGCAATTGCCTCATCCCTGCTCATTCCAAACAAGCTTTTCTTTTCTCTCTTTTTTTTCATATTCTGCTCTTTGTTTTTCTCCACGTACTCGCCATCTCTCAATCTCTCCCTGCAGCTTAGCGAACATACCGCACGCATGTTTATACCAGGTGAATTACACTTGACATTTTTTCCACCTATCTTTAATGAACATTTTGAAGATGTGCATAAATGCTTGATGTAACCAAATTTGCCGTTGAGTTACTGTAAATTTTATGGTAAATTGCAGTGATTCATTTACGTTGTGCTTGTAAAGTTACAGTCTGACTGGCAACCAAAATAACCAGAAAGTTACTGTAAATTTTAGCAGGTAAAAGGAAATGTGCACACTGTAAAAAATAAAAATAAATAAAAAAACTACAGTAAACTGCTGGCAATTTTGGTTGACAGTAAGACATTACAAGTACATTTACAAACAAACTCTAAATAAATATCTACAATTGTGCTGTACTTTTTACATTACCATTGTAATTATTAATTTTGTGCCAGTATGTTACTGTAAATGTTACAGTTAATTGTAATTATTAATTTAAAGTGTGCTTGTAAATTAATAAATCAAAACCAAAATTGCAGGTTATTGTAAATGTTACAGTAAATTTTAATTGTTACTTTAAATTGTGCTTGTACATTTACAGTCTTACTGGCAACCAAAAAATGCCATTAAGTTCCTGTACATTTTACAGTAAACTGCAATTGTTAATTTGCATTGTGCCTGTAAATTTACAATTACACTGGCAACTAAAATTGCAATTAAATTACTGTACATTTTACAGTAAACTGTAATTATTAATTTACATTGTGCTTGTAAACGTACAGTCTTACTGGCAAACAACATTTCCAGTAAGTTACTGTAAATTTTAGAGTAAATTGTAAAAATTTATTTACATTGAACTTGTAAATTGAGAGTTACTGGCAAATCAAATAGCCAGTAATTTACAGTAAAATTTACAGTATGCTAATTTACAGTGTGCTTGTTATTAAAAGTGAAATTGCGAGTACATTACTGTAAATTGTACCGTACATTTTACTTATTAATTTACATTATGCTTGTAAATTAATAAACCAAAATCGCCAATAAGTTATTGTAAATTTTACAGTAAATTGTAATTATTAATTTACATTGTGCTCATGAATTAATAAACCAAAATCGCCAGTAAGTTACTCTAAATTTTACAGTATATTTAATTGTTCATTTACATTGTGCTTGTAAAGTTAAAGTCTGATTGACAACCAAAGTCGCCAGTAAGTTACTGTAAATTTTACAGTGAATTGTAATTATTTAATTACATTGTGCTCATAAATTAATAAACCAAAATTGGCAATAAGTTATTGTAAATTTTAGATTAAATTTTAATTGTTAATTTACATTGTGCTCGCAAATTAACTAAAATCGCTGTAAAAAGTTACTGTAAATTTTAACAGTACATTTAATTGTTAAGTTACATTGTGCTTGTAAATTTACAGTCTCCCTGGCAACAAAAATTGCCAGCAAGTTGCAGTAAATTTTAGAATAAATTGTAATTATTCACTTTCATTGTGATTGTAAATTTAGCCTTGCTGTTAATTTGGGTTGCCAGTAAGAATGTAAATAAATTGTAATTATTAATTTAAATAGTACTTGTGAGTTACTGTATATTATACGCTATATAACAATGAAAACACATTTACATGAAAATGTGTCATCCTTTACCCAGCCTCATGTTGTTCCATTGGTAAACAAAGGTGCAAAGATGGTCCAAGGGGCAGCTCTGATATTGACATTTGCTGATTAATTTATATAAACACTTCCAAACCTGCTCTAAAAAAATAATAATCATATTAAATATTATTGGTACTTGAGACCTGTAACCATTGACAGTATTTGTTTTTCCTACTATGGAAGTCAATGGTTACAGTGTTTTCTGTCAGCGTCAGTGTCTCAGAACACAAAATATGGCAGGTGTGGCTTGGATCATGAGTATTAAATAAGTCATTTAAATCTGCCAAGAGCTCCACAAAGTTAGTCCTAAATTCTACATTATGAGCAGAAAAGAAATTAAAATGGTAATCCACGACAGTCTTGACCAATGTAGTGTTGAATTACACCCTTAAATGTATGAAAAAAGTAAATAATAATAATAATAATAATAATAATGATGACAATAATAATAATAATAATAATAATAATAATAATACAATAAATAAAAATAATAATAATAATAATAATAATAATAGTAATAATAAAAATAATAATACAATAAATAATAATAATAATAATAATAATAATAATTATAATAATAACAATAATAATAATAATAATAATAATACAATAATAATAATAATAGTAATAATAATAATACAATAAATAATAATAATAATAATATTCATAATAACAATAATAACAATAATAATAATAATAATAATAATACTATAAATAATAATAATAATAATAATAATAATGATAATAATAATCATCATCATCATCATCATCATTATCATAATAAAGTATTTTTGCATTTGTATTGCTTTGATGGCACGAAAGCCCCTTTTCCTTCTTGAACCAATATGTATCCCTCTTAATCATACCGCATATATCCCAAAACAAAGTCCACAGATGTCATGCACTTGACCTATTTTCAGAAAGCCTCATGCGCAGATTCACAACATCTGCTTTTTTTTTTTTTTTTTTTGCATCTCCCAGCAAACTCTTAAAACATAACCAAGTCTTATCTAAAACTGTATAAACGCTCGAGAAGCATTCAATTCCTCTGGCATCTGCTGAGTTTGTCCCTGAAGGTGATCCACACCCAGTGATCTCACTTGGACATGTTTGTGTGCCGGGACAGATTAAGCCCATAACTAATCTATAATGCACATTTGTAATGCGGGTGGAGGAAGAGCAACAATCCCAAAAAACACAGCAGGATAATGAATGAGCCATCACTCAATCAAACCGTTCGGTCATGGGACACTGCAAGCATTTTCACTTTTTTAATGAAAGTTTATGAAAGTTCATCCTGGAGCAAAAACGTTGGAAATGCAAGGTTATGTATTCAAATAATTGTATGAATTAAAGGGATAGTTCACCAAAGAAAAATATTTAATATAACCTACATCATTTATTCTCCCTTATGGAGTTTAAAACCTTTATGAGTTTCTATCTTCTGTTAAACACAAAAGAAGATATTTTGAAGAATGTCCACTCCCATGGTAGAGTAAAAATAAATTACTATGGAAGTGAATGGATTCCAGCAATATTGCAACACTGCAACATTTTCCTCATAGAGATCATAAAACAAATCAAGCAGCTCTGCGAGGACTTCTGAAGTTCATCTTAGAGCAAAAAGTTGGAAATGATGATTAAAAATGCAAGATTACGGTTAGTTTATGAATTAAAGGGATATTCACGCATAAAAAATTAATTTATTAGTAATCACTCATTCTCCCTCATGTGTTTTTAAACATTTATGAGTTTCTTTCTTCTGTTGAACACAAAAGACAATATTTTGAAGAATGCTCATCGCTGTTGATTCCTATGATAGAAGAAACAAATTACTATAGAAGTAATGGATCACAGAAACCAGCAACACTGCAAGCATGTTTTTTGAAAGTTTATGGAATAAATCAAGCAGCTCTGAGATGACTTCTGAAGTTCAAATCCAGTTGGAAATATTGATTATAAACGCAAGTTTATGTATTTGCAAATTGTTTCTAAATTAAAGGGATAGTTCACCTGAAAAAGATTTATATATTATAAATAACCAAAAACATTTATTCTCCCTCATGTGGTTTTTAACCTTTATGAGCTCCTTTCTTCTGTTGAACACAAAAGTGTATATTTTGAAGAATGCTGGTCGCTGTTGACTCCCATGGTAGGGAAAATAATTACTATGGAACAACTAATAATAACTTGACTTCTAGTTGATCATTTTGTATCAGCAGTGGCTTATATGAAAGACAAAGGTCTCTAGATTACAGATATTTACCCAAATAAAATATGGTCATACCTTGATTTCTAAAAATTTAATTAGGAAAGTAAGGTCTGACTTTGCTTAGACAAAAGTATTTTCATTTATAACAGAAATAATGTACAATATAGAATATAAAGTCATGGTGCAGTGAACAAAAATGTATATTGTGTGTGACTCCCATGAGCTTGGAGGACTGCATCCATACATTTCTGCAATGACTCAAATAACTTATTAATAAAGTCATCTGGAATGATAAAGAAAGCGTTCTTGCAGGACTCCCAGAGTTCATCAAGATTCTTTGGATTCATCTTCAATGCCTCCTCCTTCATCTTACCCTTGACATGCTCAATAATGTTCATTCTGGTGATTGGGCTGGCCAATGCTGGAGTTCCTTGACCTTCTTTGTTTTCAGGAACTTTGATGTGGAGACTGAAATATAAGAAGAAGTGCAATCCTGCTGAAGAATTTGTCCTCTCCTGTGGTTTGTAATGTAATGGGCAGCATACATGTCTTGATACCTCAGGCTGTTGATGTTGCTATCCACTCTGCAGATCTCTTGTATGCCCCCATACTGAATGTAAAGCCCAAACCATGCTTTTTCCTTCACCAAACTTGACTGATTTCTATGGAAATCTTGGGTTCATGGAGGTTCCAGTAGGTCTTCTGCAGTATTTCTGATGACTGGAATGCAGTTCAACAGATGATTCATCAGAAAAATCCACCTTCTGCCACTTTTCCAAATGATCAACTAGAAATCAAGTTATTATTTGTTGCACTT